GCCACAGCAATATTGTAAACTACTGGAATCGTATATTGGCGAAAGGTACTATCGAGTTAAACTACTTGACGCGTATTCGAAATTATATCCTATAAATCGCGGGGTCCCTCAGGGGAGTATACTAGGCCCATTGCTGTACCTGCTGTACACATATGATTTGCCAGTGAATCCAAGATGTATTGTTGGAACTTTTGCAGACGACACGGTATTAATGGCTACAGGTCCAAACAACAAGGTGTCTACCACTAAGCTTCAAATCGCTCTTCAAGAAATTGAACAATGGACAAATAAATGGAAGCTGATAGTAAACAGTTCAAAATCTAATCATGTAGACTTTACTAACAAAAGAGAAAATCAAGGTATGACTCTAGATGCCAAACTGAGATGGAAGGTACACGTCAAGAAAAAATTAAATGAGCTAAAAATAAGATACAAGAAGTTAACTTGGCTTATTGGAAGGAGATCTAAATTATCTCAGCAAAACAAGCTTATGATCTATAAACAAGTCTTCAAGCCGGTCTGGCTCTATGGCGTCCAAATCTGGGGTTGTGCGAAGAAACATATAATAGATATGATGCAAAGATTTCAAAACAAAGCAATCAGAGATGCAGTTAACGCTCCGTGGTACGTGCGAAATTCTGATTTACATCGTGACCTAAAAATACCTACTGTCAAACAAGAAATTCAGAAGGCTGCTAAAAAACATTATGACAGGCTGAGACAACACTTAAACAGCACCATTCCAGCGCTACTTTGTGATGTCACTCACAGACGCTTATGCCGCTTCAAACCTAATGACCTTTTGAGGCGTTTCAACCAGCAAGGAGATGACTAGTTCGTATCTATATGCTCACCCTAGATAGACTTAGATAAATTTACTTGTAATAAAAAAAAACCTCTTGTTAGTCAATATGACTAGTTGTTGTAAATTTAAACTTTTCATTTTGTTTAAATATAAATAAAAAAAAAAAAAAAAAAAAAATTAGGACGCTTGATGAATGCAATTATCTGAGCAAAATTATTATGGGAATGTAAATAATTATGGAAATGAGAATGTATGTAGGCACAGGTTTTCTTACAAAAAAATTCATTTATATAGTAATACATTTGCAGCAAAATTCTCAACAGAGCAACTGATTCTGTACCGTAGAACACTACCAAAAGTTTTCCAATGGATTAATATTTTAATACATTTTTTAGTGAACTTTTACTATTTTACTTAACATTCGTGAATTGCAGCAAGTGAATCAGCAAATAAAAAATATTTAAAATATTTTTTTAAATAATTTAAAGATAATATCTTCAGCATCGAAAAATGAAGAATGCAAAAAAATTTTATAAATTCAAATGGGTTCTTTACAAAGGAACTAGGCATCATT